TGTGTGTGTGTGTGTGTGTGTGTGTGTGTGTGTGTGTGTGTGTGTGTAAAAATCTCCAAGGAAACTCTCTGGATGTGGTCACTTCCCAATGAGCAGGAAGACTTTCCAACATTTATCTATGGTTTGACACTTTTCGAGTCTGTTGATTCTGGGGGAATCTGAGAAGATGGTGCTGCCATTCTCTTCTCTCCATATTCAACAAATATACATTCTTCACAGAATCACAGAGCTGGAAGGGATCTCAGCAGCAAGGATTCTTAAGCTGGGGTCCACAGACCCCTAGATTGTGGAGCGTCTATGAACTTGGAAAAAATTTATATTTTTCTCATCTCTAACCTTCGTTTCTTTTGAAATACGAAGTATTTTATTTTTCACTTAAAAACATTATTCTAAGAAGGGGGTCCATAGGTTTTTCCAGACTGCCAAAATGGGGTCCATGACACACAAAATGTTAGGAAACAATGATCGATTTCAACTCTTATCTTGTGAAAAAGCCTTTTTACAACATTCCTGATGAGTGGTCATTCATCCTTTATTTGAAAACTTCTAGTAAGGAAGAACCCTCTCTCACTCTGCCTCTTCCCGACCTCATTTCAATTTGGATTGCTCTAATTTGTTAGGAAGTTTTTCCTTATATTTAGCTGAAATCTACCTGTCTCTTAAACAGTGCTTTTCATTCTACCTTTTGGGGTTAAGTGGGAGGAGAATGTATCCTCTTTCTGTGTGAAATCCCCTGAAATACTTTACATGATCACAAATTTAGAGCTGAAAAGGTCCTCAGAAATCATCTAGTCTATGTCCTTGCTTTACAAATAAGGAAACTGAGGACCAGACAAATTATGTAACTAAAGCTTAAGGTCACACAAGTAGTAAGCAACAGAACTACTGAGCAGTATGCGGCAGCTAAATCTTGTCTAAGTTAAACATTCATTTCTTTAAACTATTCACTGTACGGCAAGATTTTGAGGTTCCCATCCTGGTAATGCTCCTATAGTTGTCCTTTAAATTTATCTTTGTGTTTTCTAAAGTGTGGGCTCCAAGAATTGAACATAGTAATATTATTGCTCAGCATCAAGTAGCTTTGGAAACAGATTAACAACTGATATTTTTTCTCTTTAAAGTTTTATCTTTCAAATTAAGCTAAACACTGAAATGTTCATTCATAAAGGAAAATTCCTGAGAGCTCCTTAAATGCAGAAACTGTTTTTGCTTTTTCTTTGTATCCACAATGTTTAACATAGTGCTTGGCACTAATGTTTAATAAATACTTACTGATTCAAAGTGACCCAAAGGGGTGCTGATGTGCAACTTATAATTCACTATAGTAACTTTCCAATTTTTTTACACTGTAAGTAAATGAAGAATAGAGTCATAAGTTGTTTCCTGATTTTTGCTTTCTTGACATTCAAAATTACAGTCAAATATCGGACTTTACAGACTGTTAACATACACTTCTTTACACAAATTTGAAATCTGTTTGTACTTGTATTTCGTGAGTGCCTTAAAAAACACCAACATCATTTATAAATTCTTCCACTATCTGTATTTCTTCATGGAATTAATTATTGATTACAATAGATGAGGACAAGAGCTAATGAAAACCAAAACATTATGGAATATTTACTGGGAAATAATTATTGGAAAAGTTATGGTATAATCCTGGATATGTTGGCTAATTTTTTTTTAAAGAAAATGCAAAACAGTAGCAAATATTGGTCAAATAGAAAATAAGCATGGAAAAATAAGCTAATACTGAAAAAGGTCACTGCCTTTTACCTCCCAGGGATAGAAATACTTTCAACAAATTCCAAAACCTTCAAAAGTACTAGCTGCATCACCTGTAATAAAATATTTAGAAATATTTTAAGGGTTACTGGGGCTTAAAACTGTATGGAGGAAGTTTAGTACCATGATTTGAATATTTTCAAATTTGGCATTTTATTTTAATATTTAAAACTGCATTATGTCACCAATGGTTCAGCTGGAAGTTGAAGTGTTAATAGTTGATCCCAATTATAGGAACCAAAAGAGACTATGTAAAAATGTAACTACAAGACAAAAGAAATACTGATTGCTTAACAACAATAATAATAATGATAGCTAACATTTACATATACAGTTCTTGCTTTATGTAAATTCAACTTTATTTTAGCAGAAGAACTTACAGGTCACACGAGAGAGACAGCCACTGCTACCACCACCAGCACCAGATTGGGGGCTTGGACACCCCCCCCCCCCCAGTGTGTCTGCCCTTGCCTGTCTGTCTTTTATCAGGCCAAGCTCAGGTACTTCATGTCTGTCCCCAACCCCCATGAGTCAACTGTCTTCTCCTTTCTGTGTTTGGCCCCTACTCATTGACCCCTCCATCCTCCCACCCCCAGCCAATTCTTCCTACTGCTCTCACTTCTCTGTCCCCTACCCTAACGTGTCCTTGAGCCTTGTGCCAGCCCCCTCCCTCCATAAGTGTATGGCTCCTTTTCTGCCACCTCCCTCCTTTCCCCACTTCCATCGGCAAATTCGTGTTACATAAAAAATTGCTTTATGTAGAGATCTGAAGAAAGATCTACTTACATAAAGAGAACTATTGCTTACTATGTGACAGGCATTGTGCTGAGCATTCTACAATTGTTATCTCATTTGATTCTCACAATAGCCCTGGGAGGTTAAGTACTATTATTGCTCCCATTTTACAGAACAGGAAACTGAGGAAAACAAGAATTAAGTAATTTAGCCAGGGTCTCACAGCTAGTAAGTATCAGCTTGGATTTGAACTGGGGTCTTCCTGACTCCAGGGCCAATTCTCTATCCACTGTGCCACCTGGACACGTACTTGTCCTTTTGATGAGTTAATATTCACAACTGAATGCTAAAGAATTAATTTTTAAAAGTTAATGGCCCCAAAGTGAAGAATACCAGCAGGACTGTCTGGCATAAATTATTCTACTTCAGAGGATTACTAAAGGCTATAGACAAAAAGCTTCATTTCATCATGGATTGCTGTTAGGCTCCAAGAGAATATATATGGTCACAGTATCTTGAGGTTATGCAAAAACCCTAACTGGAATAGCAATATCTTATGAGCCACAGTCAAGTAATGTTAAATGTCCTAAGCAAGGTCTGATGTTAGTTTTCCAAAAAATCATTTATTTGACTAATATGGAAGTGTGTTACGTGATTGCACACGTATAGCCTACATTTGACTGCTTACCATCTCAGAGAGAGGGAGAGGAAGGAAAGATCGAATTTGGAACTCAAAACTTAAAAAAAAAAAGTTTAAAAATTGTTTGAACATGTAATGGAGGAAAATAAAATATATTAATTTAAAATTTTTTTTTAAAGTTTTAAAAAGGTATTTGTTTCATACTTGGAAAATTCAGCATGGTTGGGCAAGAGAATCTGAGACCTTGCCCACAATCAAACCTTCATTTTAATAAGGAATGGAGAGTTACATGGAAACATTTTATCACCACAAAGAATACTGGCTTTGCTGCCTATGTATAAGAATTCCTTCCTAGAATGCTGGATGCCCTTAAAAATATTTATTTACATACCAAAAAAATTACAGAAAACCCCAATATTTTCTACATAACATATTCTAGAAACACTAAGGAGGGGAAGTAGAAGAGGCTATGATATAATAAAAGCTACAGATGGCTTAGATTCAATTAAAAAACAAACAAACCTACAATCAGCTAAGAGAGATGGGTCTGCTTAAATTAACAAACACAAATATAGCACGTGTGCACACATACATATTCTAGGAAACTTATCATTTTACATATATATATGAGTATAATAAGAATCTGGAACACCTATTGTTTACATGTAAAACTCAAAAAGTTGGGAACATTATCTTTTCTCTTTTAATGTAAATAGTTTTCCCCCATTTTAGCTGTCATCCATTTGTCTGACTCTACCCAGTCATTTTTTAGTTATGGGTCAACAAACTGAATTTAATATTCTTTTGAGCTAACACATTTCTTTATAGTATACAAGGAGCACAGTAAAGCTAACTCCACCTTTTCTTTCAACCCATATAACCAACTGGATTTTACTGGAGAAGGTTTCTTCCAGTCATAAAAATGGGACTGCTAAAAATCAGTTTTCCCAAATCAGACTAACTTCCAACAATACTAAAACAGAACTCTCTGCCCATCTGGGAAAAGCATCTAACCTACAACTTTGGAGAAAGATCTAGAAAACAGGCAAAGCTAGTAACAAACAGACTTTCTTTAGATAGCCTCTGCTTTTCTTCCCCTCACATTCAGTATCTAACAGCTATATGCACTTTGGACAACTACGATAGAGTCCAGATGAATACTGAAGCTGCCTGAAGTAAGAACACAGATTCAAGTCTGCTTTATGAACAGAACAACATTTCTACAACACATAAAAACCCAGGGGGGAACATAAAAGAATTTCAAACCTGAGGCTAAATATACATTTGAAAACATTTAAATTTGTTCATTTTATTACAAACAAAAGACTTCCAGGAGGGGTAATGACATTTTCCAAAGAAGTAAAATAGAGATATGATTGGCTTCTAGTTTTAGAATGAAAGTTTCCACCTAAGATTTGAATAACAGTCTGAGTATATGACTAGCACATAATGCATTCAAATACATTCCAAGTGACCTGACAGAAACTAAAATAATGAGAATCCACTCTCCCAACCCCACCCCCTTCAGAGACTCTGTTCCAAAAAGCCAAATACTATAATAAGTCATATAGATCTGAGAGTACCTTAAATCTTACCTTCTGCATGTTTGGCTTGATACATCGAACAAAGAAAGGATTAGACGTGCTCAATGTGGCCATTAAGGAATGCAGAGAGTCCTATTGAAAAGGTAAAAAAAAAAATCTCTTTTATTTAGTTTCTTATTATTTTACCCTTTTAGTTTCTAAGCACCCCAGGCACTTCTAAAAGCAATCTCAGTTGACAGAGAACAGACTTTTTTTTTTTGTATTTTTATTTTGAAAGTCTAAGTCCAATGTAAAAAGAAGTCTGTAAGAGACACTATTATTTATGTTGGGAGGCAGGAGGAAAGGCTCATATATGAGGTCTCATACTATAGAAAAGTATATTATTGCTACTACCAGTCCAAATGATTATTCTACCTACATACAAAACTAATCCATTTCTTTTTCTTTTAAAAGAAAGGAAAGTAGTAAAAGCAAAACTTATTTTTTAAAAGAAGTACATTTTTTTTCCATTCTAGCAATGTCTTCTAATTTAGCATTTTTCTTCACGTAACTGATTATTTATTCTAATTATGAACCTGAATGGGAAAGGATTGCCATCTCTTCCCATTCAGGGAAAAGGGGTGACCCTCCTTTTCAATTGCTCTTTTAATTCTCAGGAAATAAGTATTCTACTTAACAGCATAAAGCCTATAGCTCCTCAGCCTTCACAAATTGATCTGGCCTCTCTCTCCAGCTTTATATTATAATACCTCGCAACACAAACCCTTGGCTTTAGTCAGACTAGACTACCCTTCTTTCATCTGCCTAGAAAGTATCTTTCACTACTTTTTTTTTTTTGTTAAGGCAGTTGGGGTTAAGTGACTTGCCCAGGGTCACACAGCTAGTAAGTGTCAAGTGTTTGGTCTGAAGCCGGATTTGAACTCAGGTCCTCCTGACATCAAGGCCAGTGCTCTATCCACTGAGCCACCTAGCTGCCCTTTCACTACTTAATCAATAGTATTCCTTCCTTCTTAAAGGCCAGCTCAAGTGTTACCTCTTGCTTAAAACCTCCCCTGTCCACTACAGCCCAGTGTTAAACCCCTTCTTTTTCTGAATTCCTATGGAAGTGTGCCACTCATTTGGGACTCAAAATATATTGTCTTGTAAATACTTAATAAATGTTTGTGCATGTCTCTCTTCTGTCTCCAACTAAAATGTAAGTTCTCTGAGAAGAGAGGACAACTAGCCTTTTACATCCCCCACAGAGCCTTGTCGTCAGTAGATCTTCAGCCAGTCAAAATCACAGGATCAGAGGCTGAGAGCCAGAAGGGACGTCAGAGGCTATCTATTCTTCCTCCTTTCATTTTTCACACAAAGAAACCGAAACCCATAGACGTGAAATGACTTGCCCAATGTCACAGAGGACGTAAGCATCAGAGGTAGAATTTGAACTCAGGTCCTCAGACTCCACTTTCAGGTTTATAAATGAACTCAAATAAGTGAGAGCAAAATAAAAAGATTGCAATAAGGCTGTTTCACCTTTTAAATTTCATTTAAAAAGAAATCTGCCTAACTTCTGTGTTCACTATTTGCCCTATCACCACCATGAACAGCTCCTCTTCTATGAAGTTCACGCTACTTTCTCTTGATTCTGGTCACTTTTATCTATCAAAGTCTTGATTACTTTCCCATTGTTCTCTGTGACTTTTAGCAGTTCCCTATTACCCCTTTCCATGCCGTTATCCATGGAAATTTTAATAAAAAGGCTGAAAACTTTTCTAATACCCATCTTCACAGTTTCCTGATATCAGCTACAATGAACTCCATTCTATGACACTCCAGCAACTCCCAAGAGTCATCAGACCTTAGATATAACAACTGCTTAAAATTACGCTTCCTCTGAGACTCTGAACTCTGTAATTCCCTTTCTGACTCCTCCAACACCTTTATTCTTGTTCTACCTGTTCTTCTGTCGTGATCTTCAAAGTCCTTTAAGATTACTCCCCATTCACCCATGTAAAGCTCTTCTGGCCATCACTTTGCTCCTTGACCCTGTGGGTCAGCAACTTTAACAATACCCTCTCTGCTCCATCCTTGAATTCTTTCTTCTGTTCACTTTCTGCTATTTCTACCTTATAAGCCCTTTCATCCTGGGTAACTCCAGCCATCCTTTTTTTCCCCTACTACAAGCTATAATATGCTGCTTGAGGAAATCATATACTACATATACACTAAGCTACCAATTTATGCCATCTCACTTCAACTGTGCTCTTCCAATGATCTCTATCTCTGTCTTAAACTTCCTTCCTGTCTGTTATGTGCAGACATGAGCAGGTCTCCTACATTCTATCTTTTTTTTTTTAAATTTCCCTGTCACTTTAGGAAGAGAAAATCACAGAATCTCACATTGGGAGGGAATTCTGATGCCAGAGAATTTAGTCAATAAAGGAGTAAGAATACCTTCTACAACATAAACAACCAGCCATCCATCCTCTAGTGAGGGGCAGTCCACGACTTCCTAAGTTTGCCCATTTCACTCTTAGAGAACTCTACTAGTTTGGAAGTTTTTCCTTTTTCAGAAAGCCTAAATTTGTCTCTGTGTAACTTCTACCCACTTCCACTCATGGCTCTTGGTCCTGCCCTCAAAGGCTGTCCTCTGTTCCTTTCCCCACCATTTTGAACGTCCTAGAAAAAATAATCAATACCCACCGCTTCTACTGCCTCACCTTCCAACTCATCCCTTTATTCTTTGAAATCTGACATTTATCCCTAGGACTCTGTAGTTCTCAACTGAGATTTCTTCGAGAGCAAGGATTATTTTGGGGGGGGGGGAAGGGGATGGGGTGGTGGTTTTTTGTGTTCCCAGAACTTGATTAGCACTGTGCCTGGCACATGGTAAATACTTAATAAATAAATGCTGATTAGACTGACTACTAAAAACTCTCTTCACAGTCACTAATATGCTTAGAATGACCTTTCCGTCTCCTCACCTTTTGATATCTGACAACCGTGGAACATCCCACTGTTTATGATACCGTCTTCCCTTCTCTGGCTACACAACACTGTACTATTATTGCTCTCCTCTAATCTCTTTAACCAATCCTCCCTGCCCAACCACCCACCCTCTCCACCGAGCTCCAAGTATCCCATTGCCAAGAGACTGTTAGAACCTCAAACTCAAAAATATCAAAAACTGAACCCATCATTTTCTCCTCTAAATCTGCTTCTCCTCCTAACCTTCTGATTTCCTGTTAACATTCTCCTTCCAGGCTACTGGCTCACAGGGTTCTGTTATGTTATAACTTTTCCCTCATCCCACACATCCAAATGACCAAATCCTATGGATCCTACCTTTGCAGTATACCCGGCATCGACCCCCTTTCCTTTCAATTTCTGTGGAAGCTATCATAGTTCATGTCCTCATTTCTTCTTACCTAGACTATTATAATAGCTTCCTAAATTAGTTCTCTGCCTCCAGTCTTTCCCAACTCCAATTACTAGCTATCCAAGTAATTTTCTTGATGCACTATCATGATCACATACTTTACCTTTTTAATCAAAAACTTTCAGGGGCTCCCATTATTTACTCCATACATAAGTATAAACGCCTAAAACTGTCATTTTAAATTCTTCTTCAACTTTGGTTTTGATTTACCCATACAACCTTGGATTCAGTTTACCCGTCCCCTTCACATATACCATTTTCCTGCCCAAGTGCAATATTCTTTGATCCTTGTTCTATTCCTTCCCTTCCCTACCCTGGCTTTCATGACAGAAACAAAGATAGAGAAATGGCACTAGCAGCTCTTCTCTTTGCACACAACAGCCCCACACATACCTAGAAAACACAGCCCCACATCTCTGTCCACTGAAGTCTCTAGGTTCCACCCCAATCACACGCAGACCAGCTCTTCCCTGAAGTTTACACTAATACCTTTCCAGCAAAAAAGGGATTTTTTCCCTTCTCAAATTTCACAAATTTCACAGTTTGCCTAAACCTCTCCTTTGCATGTATCTCATTCTCTGCTGGGTTAGGGTTATTTGTGTATTTGTACTTTCCCCTGCATATTGATTGGAAGTTCCCTGGCAGCAGGGTTCATATCTTATGTACCTGAATATGACTTTTGCATCTGGCACATGGTAGAAAATTAATTAATGCCTAATGAATTAAAATTTTCTTTAATATTTAATCTTGAAAAGCTACCCATAAATTTTTTTCATCAGAACATTTTAAACACATAAAGGAAAAGGAGATAAATGTAGGAAGAAATCTACCCCATGTTCAAGTGCAGTACTTTCATAAACAGCACAATTTAATAAAATCACTCTGACCCCAACTAAAACAGCTACATATTTTTCTTGTTAAAAATAAAAAGGATTTTACTTCTATAAAGCATTTTGGTTTAAAATTGAAGAAAACTTTTAAAAAATTGTAACACTTCCTGATGCATACACAAGTACCATTTTCAATTTTTAAAATGACATTAAACAATAAGACACCAAAGAGATCTTAAACTAACCTTGAACTGTGAGCTGACAGTGGGCCTCTTGTGTTTACTTCCACATTTCAGGGTTTCCTGGTTATTTCGGCTTGAAACATGTTCAAATAGATCATAGATGAAATCAAGTCTAAAAGAGAAACAACAAAGCCTTCACAGAAGTAATCATAAAATTATTATGCTTCATCTTGCTATGATTACAGTCCTTTTTTCAATCTGATAACTCAAAGTTATTTACTCTAGTCTAAGTTAACATTACTTTTATAGGTTGCAAGCTTATTATCAAAAACAGGTTAGCCATGGGAATCATGATATAAGCTCATCTGTGTTGACACTTACTACTTCGGAAAACGTGGAAAAACTTCACAACTCCCACTGGCCTCATTTGACTCATCCTTACACTGAAAGGGTTAAATGAGATAAATCTATTACCCTTCTAAGTCTAAAAAAGGATTGTGCCCCTATTTTGTAGGTAGAGATTTAGAAGCAAATAACTGTGGAATCTCAGCTTTGATACTTACTAGCTGCATGTCTTTGGGTAAATCACTTTCCCCAAGCGGGTCTATGTTTTATTAGGAAAATAATGTGTGAGAGAGAAGGGAAAGGATTGGGCTAGATAGTACTCTGTGTATACTTTGTATTTGTTTAATTCTGTGAATACTGTATTTCCCCGTAGAGTGTAAGCAAGAACCACTTGATTTTATCTTCCTATAGCACTCAGTTGTTGAAAAAAGCTCACCTCCAGAGTCAAGAATACCTGGTAACATCAGGTATTTTACCTACATATGGGGCTGTGTGGTTCTGGCCATGTCCCTTAACCTTTCACTGACCCAGGCAACTCCCCAAGAAAAGTAGTTGCAGAACAGCATCAGATTTGCATTGATAAAGGGAGTTTTCTCAATGAGAGTTTCTTACACGGTAAAGAAAAATCCTCAGTGTCTTGCACATAGGATGTATTCATTTTACTATTTAATGAAGAGAATCTGAAAAAAAAAAACCTCCTGAGTGTAGAAATTGTAGGACTAGACCCTGGACCCAATGTGAACCCAGTAAGATACAACCGTCCTGTGATGCTTTCCATTACTTATAACAGCTAGGTGGTACAGTAGATAAGAGTGCCAAGGCTGGAGTCAGGAAGACTGATCTTCCTGAGATCAAATCCAGCCTCAGACACATACTAGTCGTGTTACTCTCAACAAGTCACTTAACCTGTTTGCTTTAGTTCCTCATCTGTAAAATGAGCTGGAGAAGGAAACGGCAAACCATTCCACTATCTCTGCAAAGAAAATCCCGACGGGTCACAAGGAGTTGGACACAACTGAAATGACTGAACAAAACCAGCAAAACATATGTTTCCTAATTTAAGCTTTTTAAACTAAACTGCTGATTATAATTTGATCTTTTTACTCATTAAAATCAAGTAACTTCTCTATATTTTTCTCTCATAATAAACAAATACATTTTGTTTATAAAAAAAAAAAACATTTGCTTATTCATCAGGAATAAGGATGAAGAAAAGAAATTATGGATTCCATATCAAATAATTTTCATACTAGAAAGAAAACTTCAAAGCTATGGGCTGTGAAAATGTTAAGGCAGGATAGCCTCACCACGGAACTGTCTTTCAAAGGCAGAGCTGAGCATTTAGCTGTCAAATGAGGACCACTGATTCATGCACAAAGGCCTTCTCTAGCTAATTTTATAGATGAGGAAACTGAGGCAAACAGGGTTAAGTGACTTGCCCAGCATCACAGAGTTAGTAAGTGTCTGAGATAGGACTTGAATTCAGGTCTTCATGATTCTAGGCCCAGTGCTTTATCCACTGTACCATCTAGCAGCCCTTAGTAATATTAAAAACTAATATTTAAATCAGCGATTAACCAATTTTTAAGGTTTGCCTTATCTCTTTGACTTTGTAGTACTGCCACTCCTGAGTGGCAGGCAATTTTTTTTAAAGTGAAATAAAATAAATTTGGTTTCAAAACTGTTTCTGAGAATTTTCTGACCACTCTTGAGATAACAGGAAATAGAATACAGAGTTCAATGACTTAAGCTACAGCACTATGATATTTATGTTATATGTGTCTTTTTTATTTGTGGTTAATAAAAATATTACCAAGGAAAGGCTATTACAGAATGTTCTAGAAGAATATTAATATTTTAAATTCTACTACATGAAGAATGTACATAGTATAATTCAGCAGCAAATCACATCTGCATGTGTTGGCCAATTACTTCTCAGTCATTGGTGTCACATACCGGCTTTCCCTTAGCAAGTTGAGAAGATCATCTCGGAATGTATCCCTGTTCTTCTCCAAGATTCCCCTAACGTCATATTGCACCTATTAAACACCCCCCAAAAAGAGGAATAGAATTTGGTAAAGGGGAGAAGGGGAGAGGGTGAGAGAGAGAGAGATTGAAATTCAGCAAATTTTATAAAATTTAACAGTAAAAACAGAACATTTCAGTAAGTTTACCTTTCTTTGGAAAAAACAAAGATTTCTCTAAAAGGTATTAAGAGGAATTTCACAGGGAGTTTTAAAAATCTTCCACTAAAACACTGCTTTGATGGTGTACTAAAGCAGAGGTGACCATGCGTTCTCAAAAGACCTCAGCCAGCACAGTATAAGCACTGGCAGCTCTTATAAAGCTGACAAAGCTTTGAGAACAGGTCCTATAACAATCAACTTTCTGTGGTCTTCACTTTAGTCTAGTTCAGAGAGGTTCATTATAGGAAGGTGAGCTAGTAAGTGATCAGTTCTTCTTTGGCCCCCAGCCTAATCATGTCTACAAAAGCACAGAAAAGCTGTGATCTGTGTTAATGGAAGAGATGCCCACATTGACTAAACTATGGCTCTTTTGAAACACTGAAGAAGAAATCCTAAAAATATATTACCTCTCCAGCATAGTGTTTTACTCCAAAATTATTAACAGCAACTCTTGGCTTCACATAAAAGTGGTTATGCTAAATTAAAAAAAAAGAAAGAAAGAAAGAAAAAATGAGTAATTCAAGAAGCATTTTTAGTGTTCACTCTATACAGAGCACTATAAAAGGTAATAAGGGAAATGCAAAGTTTAGATAAATCTTGGTCTCTGACTTCACAGAGCTTACTGTCTTGTAAGGAGATATGACACACCTATAAGTAGCTAACAAAAAATACTTAAGTGTATAAGAAGAGGTGCAAACAAAGTCCTATGTCAAGTCTTAGAAGGGAGAGCTCATTCTTTATTAGGGAAACCAGGAAAGGTTTCACTAGTATTTGAGCTGGGCTGAACTGAAAGGACACATAGAAATGCAATCGTATGACATGGAGCAGGCACTCCAGACACAGAGTACAGGTGGTTCCTACACAGACCCATGAAGAAAAAGGGAGCAGTAAATGGAATAAAACACATAGAGAACCCAGCAACACGGCATATGTCATCAAGATTCTAGAAACCATACACAATTAGAAGTGCTGATATTGTAACTTGGTAAATGTCCTAAAGTTCACAACGTTAGTAAGCATAATCACTTTGCTACTCTCACACTAAATTCTGATAACATAGTGCTGCAGTGGATCAAATACGAAGAATGCTATGGTTAATTTAACTCAGCTTAAAGTATCTATTCTAGTGAATGGTTCAAAAAAGGTGTAACGGTTTGGAAAGCAGATACAGTGGTGCACTAATGAAATAATCCATATTCTCAAATATCAGGTGTACACTTAATCCAAAGATTTGTTATTTGAGGTAGAAGAATCTGGAATGGTCTTTGACATACAGCATGCTGAGCGTGTAATTTCTCCAGTAAGGTAGTATCTGTGGCCTGAGGAAAATGACTTTCTTCATTAATAAGGGCAAGTAGTCCAAGTTTCTAGAAGAGGGGAGAAAAAAACAAGAATGTTTTATAAAAGGGGAAGGACAGTTTTCCTAACAGGTCTTTAATTAGAGTTGATTTCCTGTCCCTTCACTTATACCACAAGGTACATAAAATAGTTATTTCTAAGAATAAAAAAAAAGTTTTTAACTCCATACTATAAAAGAAAAAAGATTTAGATCACATTAATGTTTTTTTTTTTTTTTAATAATTTTTAGGGGCAGGTAGATAGTGTGGTGGATAGAGTGTTGGGCCTTAGTCAGGAAGACTCACATTTCTGAGTTTAAATCTGGCCTCAGACACTTACTAGCTGTGTGAATAGGTCACTTAATCTTGTATGCCTCAGTTTCCTTATCTGTAAAATGATCTGGAGAAGGAAATGGCATGCTATTCTAGTATCTTTGCCAAGAAAATCCCAAATGGGGTCACAAAGAGTTAGACATGACTGAAAACAACATTTTAAAAATCATATGAAAAAGAAGGCTTGGTGGAACACATATAACAATGGGCAGGCAGTCAGGAAGACCTTGACTTAAATCCTTTCTCGGCAATGTACAAGCTGTCTAGCTAAACCTGGACAAATCACTTTAACCTTCATATGACTCAGACATCCTTTTCTTTAAGTCATAGGTTGGAGCTCTGCATTACTCACACTGCCTCTCCCTTCCCACTCCCTCATATATTCTCCATTTTCTTAAAATGATATGCATTTATTTTCAGTAACTTGAATTTTGGAATTTATTTTTTATTTTTTGCTGCATTGCACAGTATTGGCATTGGTAAAAATTTCAGATATCAAGTTATAATCTAAATTTTAGAAAAGCATAACCAAGCATATCTGGTTCAAAAATATACATATATATTCTGTATGTTTGTATTTATATGCAAACATACATGTATACATTTACATATAAATATATTCACATACATATTTTTATTTATACCAAAACTTAGATTCTGCTGAAATTAAAATCAAAGTGAAAAGTAGGAAATGCTACTATCATCACAGAATCACAGAACTGTCAAAGCTGGAAGACAACTCTAATTAGAATACAATAGACCATTTTGGCTTAACTTTCACACCTTTAAAGTACAGGTTAGTACAAGTTGTTTTGTTCCCATAAGCATAAATTAACACAGCTGAGCACCCTGGGGAATTTAACACATTCTCCTACAATGGATTACCTTTTCAATAAGATCCAGACATTCTCCATTGTCTATCCAGTCAATATCTTCCCACACTAGTCCTTCTCTACAATATAAGCAGAAGGTAACATTTTAATTTCAAATATAACTTTAAAATTCTCAATTTTTCTTTGCTCATTTTGTAAATGGTACTTTGAATTCATGATTACCTGCTATATTCCAGTTGTTCCAAAGAAAAAATGTGCTTATTGAAATACTCCTGAAGCTTTTCATTTGCATAGTTTATACTGAACTGCTCAAAATGGTTAACCTGAGAGGAAAGAAGTATTGGACAATAAATATTTTCAAATTTATCATTCATAAAATGGAAGTTAAGAGAAGAAAAAAAATCCACAGTGAATTTCAGAAATCCTTTCTGAGCTTCAAATATAAGGGACTTAACAGCAATCGGCTTACATGTTAGAATTATTGAATACCCATTTTCTGAAACATACCTCAAAGTTTTCAAATCCAAATATGTCCAGAATTCCAATTGACTTGAAGTCATCTTTGCCTTTGATTCTACTGTTAATTTTCTTAATAATCCAGGCAAAACACTGGGAATAAAGTGCCATCGCCATAGAATCTCTGCTATCTGCTGCCTGTGAGACAGATCAAACACAGTAAGCACACTCTACTTCTATTTTATGGCTTGTCCTTTTCACCAGATGTGGCAGGCATAGTATGAGTCTACCCCGCTTTAAAGAAATCAACAGATCAATTCTCAAATTTGCTAGTAGGTTATGTTTCAAAAGTTTGTAACTTGGTACCCTGGAAATTATTTTCCAATATGAACCTGATCTTCAGGTTCTCAAACCAGTTGCCAAAACTCCTATTTTAGTTTGGGTGAATTTAACACTAACAGTCCTAGCCTGAATGTGGGGTCTTACAAGAAAGCCACATAATAAAGGAGAGAAGAAAGATAATTTTTTTCTTTTCCTTGGGTCAGAATCAGTTCTAGGCAAAATTCTGAAAGGGCACAAAGTTAGTATTTGATATCTTCCTACTTCCTGATACCCTTATCCCAAGGTGCCTCATGTTGCCCTTCACCTTTCCTGTGGTACCCCATCCCAAACTAATTTATCTTCTCTAGAAAGCATCCACAGCCTTCTCTTTATTTCACAAATTGACAGAGGGAAAAACTCAGTAATGTTGGCTGAGAATTACTTGTTGTATGTTGAGAGGTGTTAAGATCTCTTCTCCCCTGAGTATCATTGATCTCTGTGTCAAGGCATCAGTTAGCTGTGTTGAGTCCAACCCAAGTAACTCTGCAGATCTGCCAAGAGCTGTCAAAAAAGAAAAAAATAAGTTAAAAAAGAAAAGCAAAGTGCAGGCTGTATTTGTACTAGAAGGAGCAGGAGATTTCTTCTTTGTGATGTGACTTAAGCCTACACTAGCATGTCCTAGCAAGGGTGGGGAACCTGTGGCCTTCGAGGTCCTTGGGTTCTAGGCCTTTTGACTGAGTCCAAGTTTTACTGAACAAATCCTTTTATTAAGAAGATTTGTTCTGTGAAGATTGGATTCAGTCAGAGGGCTGAACTTGAGGACCTAGAGGGCCACATATGACCTTGAGGCCGCAGGCTCCCCATCCCTGTATTGAAGCAAATAATATCCTTGAAATCATTTTCCTTGGAAATTACAGAATAGTGAGACAAGTAAGTATTCAGGTAGACTTATGCAATTATACTGGGTAACTGGAATACTTTAAAAGTCAAATTTCTCTTTTTTTTGGTTAGAATTATAATTCTATCAGCTAAGACCACATAAGATCACAAGATTGATAGCTTGAAATAACCTTAGAGATCATCTATTCTAAGTTATCTTAGACTAAGAAAAATCTCAAATCAAAGAGGTTTAGTGAATTACCCAAGTATAGAGACAGTGAGTAGCAAAGCCTTGTTTCAAATCCAAGTATTCTGGTGACTCTAAATCTAACCAAATCACTTCCAAAAGATGACACTCAAAATGGAACCTTTTACTTTTATTATAGAGGGCTAGTGTGGAAAGATATTGACTGCATAAAAGATAGAGAATGTTTAGGTCTTACTGAAAAGGCAGTACATTATTTTAAATTAATTTTTAAGAAAGAAGATTCTAGAATTCCTCTCCATAAATCATGCCAATTACTAAATGTGAGTTACTAAACTGCCCCCTAAAAAAACCCTGTTAAACAGAAATGCCTAGGGCTAAAGGCTATTTATTAAATCTTCACATATTTAAGTTGGAAGAAATCTCTAGTTTCTTCCCCTAGGATAGAGGATATACTTTGGTCTCATCACATTTCCCTAAACATACATTTTACATATCAGAGAATTGAGATTTAGAGAGGTTAAATAATCCTATGATTAATAAGAGGGTAAAGCTGGCTTAAACACCAGGTCTTCTTATTCCTGCTTTTTCTATTACAAATCCAGTAATATTTTCGGTATCAAAACTTCATACATGGAATTAAGTTCCTCGGTAGTTAATAATAAAAAAAAGCAATCTCACCTGTTTTGAAAGAAACTTGTGCTCCACCAGCAGTGATGAATTCTATGTTTCCAAGATGTAAAATACCAGCAAGTAGTCTAAGAACTTCCCGAACTTCTTCTTTGCTGAATTGCATCACTTCCATTGCAGTCTAAAAGAAAAAAAAAATCACTTATGATGCTTCCTTATCCCATTAAACTAAAGAACTAGCAAAAGTGTCATCATATAATGATGTGCATTATGCATTGAGGTGTATACATCAAAGCAAAAGGCTGACTTCTATCATTATGAAGCAATCCATTCTTTAAATTACAAATCACAGGTACCCAAAAAAGGTCAGATTAGACAACAGACAAGTCTACAGAGAGAGAGAGCTATGTAATAGCCAGAACACAAAGTGATATGTATCCATGTTATTTAAAAAAAAATTTTTTTACATTCTTGAGGACTATGTTGTTACTATAATCCAAAGTGGAAAGGCAGATGTTAATAAAAAACAAAAACAAACAAACAAACAAAAAAACCCTTTGATTTGTCTTTATTTGTTTTATTTATTTTCAAAGCATAAAGGCATAAATGTTATTTTTACTACAAGTATGAATGTCAAACAAATTCAGGCATAGAGAATTCTATTAACATATTCCGAGCTTTCCTCAGGGGTTAAACTAAACAGAAAGGCAGCTGGATGAGATAGAATTATTAATCTCGAGATTTTTGTTCTTTGAGAAACAAATTAACAAGGCCCTTGTCAGTAAAATAAAATTCCTATATCTCTTATAATAGCAAATATAAACAAAATATGAACTACAGACTTGGTTCTATTTCTCTAGACTGTAACTTCAACCATTCTAAGAAATTCGTAAGGTGCTACTCTCATCATATATGGGGGCTGAAAACTGACAAATATACCATAATGTTCAGGGGGAAAAGAAAAGCATTTGTAGGCAGTCAAGATACTGGAGCCAAAACTCTTTTGTAAATCAGCACAAAGGTATTATACATATATGTTTTATTAGCCTAATTTAGACAGCATAGACCAATGTTATAAAATAAAGTTTTATAAAATATATAAAGTTTTTGGGGGGCATAAATGGTTATATATTCTTAGTGAGTTACAAACTGCATTTAAAAATGCCTATGCTGGACTCAGTCAGTCAGAAAGCTTTTATGTTGTTTTGTTGATACGAATTTAAGTCAATGATGAAGAAAGCAGAACTCAAAATGCATGAGCAAACACATACAAATAAAAAGCATGATTCATAATTGTGACACCATACTTTAGGATACTGACATTGGAAAATGAGTACAGACTTGACAGACACTTCTATAAGCTGACATTTTAAAATATTAGCAATTATGTTCCATTAAAAACAAATAGGTACATAAAAGTCTTCACTGAGTGCACAGCATTGTATAAGGCAGTAATATCTATAATCTAATTTCAGTGGATATTTCTGATGGACTACAATTAATTCATACACTTAATCAAATATGTATTAAATGCCTATTTCTGTGCAATATCCTGTTGAAATAGGCTGAAATGTTCATATCAAATGTTCATATATGAAATGTTCAAAGATAAATGGTTTCTGGTTAACACATACATTTGATTATTATTTAAATCTTTTTTTTAATCAGATGAGCTAATATAAAGTAAAGGGCTTTACAAACTGTTATTAAGTGACTAGAAAAGATAGGTGAAACCAGGAAGGAGGAATGGTAGGAACCTGTACAGTGTGCTCCACTCCAAAAACTCCTCCAAAGAGATCTAGAATATGTAGTGGACTAAATCCTAACAGGGAAATCTAAAAAGCATCACAGTGAGTCATTTGGCCAGCCCAGTTGATAGACAGGTCTGTGGACACTGAGGACAGACTTCTGTAAGCACTCTAGCACCTAAGGAAAGGATGTGCCCCAAAGGTAAGAGGAAACCTGGAGCCAGAATGGGCTACCTCCTAACCCATACTGGAGCACTGTGACGGGGACAGGTGCAAACTGGAAGCTTTGCTGCCCAATACCCAGTTCTGGGTCACAGAATCAGGGGACAGGATAAGAAGCCAGCAGCAGCAGCTGTGTGGCTCAGACCCAAATCTCACTTAAAACATCTACGCCCGTGTGCAGAGTAATAAACAAGGTAAAAATCCCAGAGTAAAAGAGAGCCTACAATTCTGCCATTCTGAACTAACAAAGCTTTCCAGCTGACTGACAGGGATTGAGTCCAGCAGTTACCTATTCTTGCACAGACCCAAACACAGGTCACAAAATTGCAGAGTTCAGACCAAGAAAGAGGGTGGGGTGGGGTGGGGTGGGGTGGGGTGGGGAGAGGAAAGAAGCATTCAGACTTTGACCTAGATCAGACCACTTTGGGAGCACTGAAAGCTGGCAGGTCCCCAGTCTTAATACCCCAGGAAAGCAGTAAAAGGACCAGCCCAGAACTTCCTTCCAGAAGTGTAGTGGAGCCCAGCCCTAACATCAAGTCTAAGGTCAGAAAGTAGGCTGGGAAGATGGGCAAAACAAACCAAAAAAACTCCAGAATAAAAAGAGGGGTGGCAGGGATGCTCAAGTCACAAACACAGAAGAAAAGAAAGACTACAGAACATCTACAAGCAGTGCCTCAGAGAAAAACGCAGCTTGAGCACAAAAACAATTAAAAAGCCTGGAAGAGATGAAGCAAGAATTTAAAAAAAAGTTTAGAAATGTTTTTATAAATGGAATAAGAGTGCTTGAGGGAAAAAAAAGGAAAATAAATGAAAACTATGGAAGAAAAATTGGAAAGGGAATTAACAGCTTGGCAAAAGTGGTACAAACCCTTGCCCAAACAACCAATTCCCTGAAAATTAGAATGGACCAAATAGAACTTCATGAGGCAACAAGAAATATTAAAACAAAAGCCAAAAGACTGAAAAAGAAATCGAAGAAAATCTAAAGTTATCTCACAGCAAAAATCAAATGACCTGGAAAACAAATTGAGGAGAAAAAAATTTAAGAATCATTAGGCTATGTCAATGCCATGATCAAAAAAAGAACCTGGATACCATATTTTAAGAAATCTTAAAAAAAACCTGCTATCTCTTAGAACCAGAGGGCAAAATGGAAATAGAAAGGAGCTATGGTTACCTCCTAAAAGAAACCTCCAAATGAAAACATGAGAGCTAATATAAAGAGATTCCAGGCCACAGAAAAATTACTACAAGTAGCCAGAAATAAAGAATTCAAATACCAAGGGGTAAGAGTCAGGATTACACACATTTTAGCAGTCACCGCTATAAAGAAATGGAGAATTTGGATATTCCAGAAGACAAAGGATATGGGTTTACAGCCAAGAATAACTTACCCAGAAGAAATAAATATAACATTACAGAGGAAAATAAACCTTTAATGAAATAGCAAACTTCTAAGCATTCGTGATGTGAAAAAGACCAAAACTGTGGAGAAACTTTGAAGTTCAAACACAGGAGTGAAGAGAAAAATAAAAAAGTAAACATGAATGAACAATAACAAAGGGATAAACATAATTAAATTGCTTATATTAAAATACGGGGAGTTGATACATGTGTCCCCTCTGATCTCTATCTTCTTATATCAGGCATCATAGGAGTGGTTCCCCTACGTCTTGGTGATCTTAAGAAAAGAATGGAAAGAGAGGGAAAGAAGAGGACATTTGGGGTGGGGATGAGTGGAAAAGAAGAGTAGGTCAGGGGAAATTATCTCACATAATCAAGGTGTACAAGTAGACATCTATATCAAGGTGAAGAGGAATGGCTGACAGTTATACCTCATTCTTATATGAACTATTACACACATAATGAGTTGGGAGCAGAAATTAATTTCATTAATTAAACAGAGAGTTGAGGGAAAGGTAAGAAAGGAGAAGAGAGGATTACAAGGAGGGTAGGTTTTGGGAAGGATTGATCCTAAGCAGAATAAACTTTAATGATGAACAAAAATATTTATAGTTCCTCTTGAGATGGCAAAGTAAAGGAATATGAGGGATTATGGAATACAAATGGGATTGAATACTATTGTACTGAATTCTTATCAGCATAATGTTCAACCACCATTCCAGAGAACTTATGATAAAACATGCTACATACCTCCTGATAGAGGTGAAAGACTCAGAATGCAAAATGAGGTAAAATGGGTTTCTTTTGGATGCAGACAATGTGGCAATGTTTTGGTTGAATATACATGTTTGTAATGAGTTTTGTTTTTCTTGCATTCTCAAATTCTGGAGGAAGGGTGTTGAGGGAGAATAAGAAAGATGATTAAAAACAGGATCTTGATGAATTAAAACAAATAAGTTTTTTTAAAAAATAAAATGTTATGTACTAGCTATTTTTTTATTATTATTCTTTTATCTCTGGGATTTATATTTCTCATAGATGACACTTTTCTTTATTTAATTTGATCAAGATTTCGAGAATAATTATTTAAATGAAAAAATAAAACAACCACCAATAGCTTAAACAGGCAATGTTAGATAAATCATAGTCTATAAGAGGATTTCTCTTGGGATATCATGTTATTCAATAATTTAGGCTCCTTTTGTCAACTTAGAATAAGTAAGTTATTTATAATCCCACTGAAACTTGGCACTGTCAGGAAGACAGCACTCTACTTGCTGTAACATGCACCCTAGTGGTCACAGAGAAAACTGGTTACTTGGATCAAAGTGAAAGGGAAAGATTGGATTGAAATTAAGATGGCACTATATTTACACAACAGCCTGTCTTTTAGATGAGAAGTGTCAAACACACAGCAACACCTACAACACTGTCAAGTGCATAGTTAGAACCAGATTAAAATGTAATCGGGAAACACCAAAATAAATACAATAAAACATAGATAACATTATGTTTTAAAAGTAAGTCAATATGTGGCCCACAGAGACTCAGATGTAAGGAATAGTGATCCTTTGTTACTATTTGAGTTCCATACCCCTGCTTCAGATCTAAACACTTTTCTTTGGTGATAGGAAAGAAGTAAAATGAATCTGTGAAAATTCTATTTCCTTATGTAGCTAACAGAGCAACCTAATCATCCTTTCACTTACAAGATCTTGGATTTACATGTAATAAGCTACTTCTTTATTCTACCACTGAGGAAACTGAGGCAAAAGATGGTCATGTGACTTGCCTAGGGTCATGTATAGCTCGTATTTATTTATATTCTTTTCTTTGGACCTGGTTTCCCTATTTCTTCTCAAAGTCAGATTTTTTACAAAAATATATAAGCAAGGTGACTGTTAAGAGCCCTATCTATAACAGAAGACTAGAAGCATAAATAAAAAAATGGAAAGATATAGTTAAAGAGCATCTAAAACATACTAGATCAGTTATCAGGGACTGATAATATACACTCTAGAATATTTAAGGAACAGAAAGGCATCACTCTAGCAGACCAGTCAATAGTCTTGAAAAACCATGAAAAATAGGACAAGTTTCTGTAGGGAATTGGAGGAAGAGTGGGGACACAAAAGGGTAGGGAAAACCTATGATTTCATCTAAATAGGAAATTTCCAGTAAAGAAATTCATTCATGTGTAACTATTCTATAATTTGCTATTTCTTAAGAGTTGTTTGGGGTATGGAAAAGTTAAAATGGCTATGTCAGAAGAAGAACCTGAACCCAGGGTTTCCTGATTTCAAGGCTGGTTCTCTATCCTATAAAAGTATGCTGCCTCTCCCTGTGGTTTACAAAGGGCAAAGGTTGTGCTTAGGGAAACAAAGGATGATCCAGGAAATTAGAGACCAGTGAGCTTAGGGTTCAAACCTAGGTAGAAAAAAAGATATAATTTGTAAACAAACACTGGGAAGATTTTAAGATGCAGTCAACAATGGCTTTTTGAAGGACATCTGTCGGTTGAATTTAATTTTATTCTGATTGAATAACAGTAATAGTGACAAGAAGATGACATTATAAGATAGAAACACAAAGTGGTACAATGAAAAGAGTATTTTATTTAGTCAGAAAACCTGGGTTCCAATTTCAGCTCTGTAGTACACTGTGCAACATTACAGATGTTACTTAGCTTCACTGATCCTTAATTTCCTTAAGTGTAAAATGAAGAGGCTGCACATGGTAACCTCAAGATCCATTCCAGTTCTAAACCTATGATCCTATAACCTGTGAAAGGGTTTTGATTCCACTTCCAAAATTCTTCATGATAAACTACCAAATAAAAGTACCATGCAACAAAAATTTGTTTGAAGGCTAAATATAAAGTGATCAATGTTTTGGCAACAATCTGAGTGATTTCTCTAGTGATCTTACATAGGGAATAGTTCCAGAATCTTAGTTAATCCACTACGTTGATAATTAAATTGCCTAGGATTTATATGTATTTTAAGGTTTGTGATTTATGTGTATTATAGTATTTTATCTGACAACAATCCCATGAGGTAGGGGCTACTTATTATTATCATTCCCATTTTACAGACAAGGAAACAAGCTGACAGAGTGAAAGCGATTTGCCTAAGATCTAAAGTGAAAGTGATTTGCCCAAAGTGATTCAGCCAATTAGCATCTCAAGCACCATTCTAACTCAGAGCTTCCTGATTCCAGGTCCAAGATCCATCCCCTGTACTATCTAGCTGCCTCTTGGACAATGGACTGAGAAGATGATTTTAATAAGATTTATTAACTATGGATATTACTAAATTACGGGAGATTTGTTGAGAATGACTTATCAGTAAAATTGCTTTATAATTTTAATAATAAGCTTTAATAAGCTTTATAATAAAAGCTTTCTGAAAGTTCTGCTCCACAGCAAATATTTCACTGTGTACACTACTGTCCACAGTATGTGACAGAGCTGAGATTAGTCTTCTGTCTAAATGCAATGCATTCTGGAAGACTGGCATCAAGTTCAAAATTGTACTGACCAATAGAAAAGGAATTCTGTAAATGAGAGCATAAAACCTAAAAGGACTGAAAAAAAAAATCCCCAAGAACAGGATATAAACTAAATATGCATCAGTAATACTATGTTTCCTTGATAAACACTCTGCTGGTGAATTATGTTGTCTACGCATTTTACATTTGATCACCAAATTTTAAGAAGAGTTTTGAGAAACTAGGAATGTTTCAGATAAGGTTGACAAAGATGATTGAAAAGATGGAAAAGGGGTTCCTATAAGAAAAAGTTAAAGAATAGTCTTATGTAAGCTGGAGAAGAGGAGTTCTAATGAAAAGTTTTTATAATCAAGGCATTCATTACTTGTTCTCTGTTTATAGATAATTGGAACATAAATTACCATAAAAACATAATAATTACCATAAATGGTAAATGACTGTGCCTACAATAAATAGAATAAGAGTAGGACACAGGAAGTAATTGAACTTACAATAAAGGGGATAAGGACTGGAAATTTGATTTTAATGATATAGGGAACTCCTGGATGAAGAAACTCTCTCTACCCAAGTAAGTGGAAGGCAAGTTTTCCGTGACCTCAGTCTTAGAGAGTTTAAGTAACTTGTCCAGGATCACACAGACAAGTATATGTCAGAAGTGGGACCTGAACTCTGGTCTTCCTGATTCTGAGGCCACTTCTCCATCCTCTCTACCACACTGCCTCTCTCCTTAAGTTAAAGGAAAAGGAGAAATTTCAGTAACAACTTTTTGGACTACCAAGATAAAACATTGAAATGAACTGAAGTACGATTTTTATGGCTAGAAATCTTCAATTAAAAATGAATTCCTCCTTCAGTATGGTGTTGTGGAAAGACCACTGGTTTTTTATCAGAAGACTCAAAGCAATTTGGAACTATGCCCAAAGGGCTACAAAAATGTGCATACCCTTTGACCCAGCAACAGCACTTCTAGGGCTGTAGCCCAAAGAGATCATACAAATGGGAAAAGGACCCACATGTACAAAAATATTTATAGCAGCTCTTTTTGTGGTGGCAAAGAATTGGAAATTGAGGGGATGCCTATCAATTGGGGAATGGCAGAACAAGTTGTGGTATATGAATGTAATGGAATACTATTGTGCTATAAGAAATGATGAGCAGGATGGCTTCAGAAAAACCTGGAAAGACTTGTATGGACCGATGCTGAGTGAAGTGAGCAGAACCAAGAAAACATTGTACACTGTAACATCCAGGTTGTGAGATGACTTTTGATAGATTTAGCCCTTCTCAGCAATGCAAGGATCTAAGACATCTCCAAAGATCTCATGATGGAAAATGCCATTCTCATCCAGAGAACGAACTATGGAGTATGAACACAGATCGAAGCATACTATTTGCTCTTTTTTTCCTTCTATTTTGTTTTGTTTCTTCTTTCTTGTGGTTCCTCCTATTGGTTCTAATTCTTCTTTATAACATGACTAATGTGAAAATATGTTTAATAGGAATGTATATGTAGAACCTATATCAGATTGTATGTCATCTTGGCGAGGGAGGGGAAGAATATTTAAAACTCAAAAACTTAGGGAAGTGAATGTTGAAAACTAAAAAATAAATTAATTAATTAAAATAAAAAGAAGACTCAAGTTCAAGCTTTACCACTTAAGAATCATTTAACTTCTTTGTGAATTAGTTTTCCCATTTAGAAAAAAAAAGGAAAATACTTGTACAAACTAACTGGTTGTGAGGAAAACACATCATCAATTGCAAAGAACTCTGTAAATATTAATATTATTATTAAAATAGTTCATTATTTCCCAAGGTCTTTTAATGCCAGGTAAAAAGGATTACACAACCTTTGAAGCCAAATTTGAAGCAAAAGAAAAAAAGGGAAAAACCTGCCTTCAATGCTTGTTGATTCATTATTTCAGTTTTCACTTGGGTAATCGACAGTACACTGTACCAGAAAATTTTAAAAATTAACTCCTATTAGCAAAGTAACTTACAATGACATCCTTGAAGGATTCTTTATCATTGATTGTCGCATCTGTTACACACCCAGACTGATTCAAGTAGTGGTAATTTTCTGGCACAGATAAATAAAACTCCTCTGCAACATAAAAAGAGAGAAAAATGTAAGTCCACAAATTTTATTGTTATTCAGCTGATTAGCTTAGGGAACAACACAACGCAAAAGGTTTTCCTCCTGCGATTAAAAAGAGAACCAAATACACCTCATTGCCATCTCCCTTTCATGGAAACAATAATAATTTGTATTAAGTGTATTTTTACACATCAGGATGTTGGAACATGTTAAAATTAGTGCAGTATTAAAAGCTGACTATGTGCCATGCACTTTATTAGGTGCTGAGAATACAAAGAAAAAAATGAAATGCTTCTTGCCCTCAAGGAGCTTATATTCTACTAGGGGAAAGAATCTGCATGCAGAAACCAAAATACAAAACATATATATTATATATCAAATAATTACTGGGGGAATGGTGCAAGCAATTGGGTAAGGAAGGGAACAGGGAAAGGTCTTCAGTAAGAAGTGACACAGAAGCTAAGCTTTGAAGGAAGTTAGGGATTTTAAAGGTAAAAGTACATTCCAGGCATTGGGCATAGCCTAAGCAAAGACCTGGAGATGTAATATGTAATATCGTGAATTGGGAACAGTAAGCAAGCCAATTTGGCTAGACTGTAGAGTGCATGAAGAAGAATGTGTAATGTGCATTAATCATGGAAATGAAGACTGAAGATGGATCATAAAGGGCTTTTAAAGTCAAACAGCACTGAAGAATTCCAGAGGCAAGAAGCCGCCAATAGAACTTCTTAAGCAGTAGAGTTACATGAACAAATCTGTGCTATATAGTAGTATAATTCTGGCAACTGTATACAGGATGCATTTGAGAAGGGAGAGAGGAGAGAACAGGAAAGCAATTAGGATATTCTTGCCATGATCCACACGAGAGTAAATGAACACTTGAATTAGAGTGGTTGTAGTGTGGTGTGAGTGGAGAGACAGATGGAGGAGAGATGGTGTGGAAGTATCTGATTAGCGGTGAGGCAGGATGGAAGAAGGAAGAGTTGAGGATGACTCCAAGACTGTGAGGAGCAACGACGTGGCTCAGTGGATAGAGTGCCAGGCCTGGAATCAGGAAGACTCATTTTACTGAGTTCAAATCTAGATTCAGACACTAATTAGGTGTGTGACCCTGGGCAAGTCACTTAACCCTGTTTGCCTCAGTTTCCTCATCTGTAAAATGAGCTAGAGAAGGAAATGGCAAACCACTCCAGGATCTATACCAGGAAAACCCCAAAAGGGGTCATGAAGAGTCAGACACAACTGAAAACAATTGGAACAACAACGAAAACCAACGTTGTGAAGTTAGGTGACTAGAAAGATATTGGTGCCTTTAACAGAAAGAGATCTGTTGGTTCCAGGTCTCCTATCACCTTCCATCTGGGTGATACCGGGCAAATTACCTCTCCAAACCTATTTGCTATTTCTTAAAATTCATCATTTCTTTCAAAGTTCAACTTAAGCTCTGCCTTCTACATGAAGCCTTTCTTGTCTCCCCTGAAGCTAGAACCTCTTCTCCACTCTACCCCACCACACCCCTCCGAAAAACAAAAACAAAAACAAAAAACAAAACACCTCCCCCACCGCCCCGCCCCATGTGTCCCCAAATAAAATGTATGCTTCTTGACAGAAGGAACTATTTATCCCCCACCACCACCACCACCACTTTTCCCCTCTATATTCCCAGGGCCTCCCACAGTGCTTATACAAGCACTTAATGGATGTTGTTAAACAATCTACTAATATTAGCAGTATCTCTAGTATAGTGTTGTTGTGAGGAACAAAAATGCTTTACAACTGAAAAACACTAAGTAAATGTCCGCTTTTATTATTAGAAAATAACAAATGGTGGACCCACTAATTAGAGGGTTTCTTTTCGCTCCTGTAAACCTTGGAAAGAATCATTATTCAAGTATCATAAAAAAGAATCAATTTCAATGCTTTTTTTTTTTAGAAACACTCTCTGAATTAGAGATGTACAAGAAAGGCCAAAAGCCAAGGAGATTCTAGATTTTCTATCTGTCCTCTTCTCCCTACATTATTTGGCACTGCAGTAAATTCAATTTTCCATTCATTTTGAAACAACTAATCTACCAACACATTTCATAAATCTTTCTCCACAGTTCTTCTATGATTATTGATTTTTTTTTAAATGGAAAACAGGTTACAAACATATGTGTACCTGCTGTTTCTGTCACTCACCTTTCTCTTCATTCTCGAGTCCAGCCAGCAGTGCATAGAATATATGATAATTCCTTTCCCCTGGATTCTGTCTTACCACTCGGTTCTGCAGGAATATATCAAATTTACATTGTTTTTCCTTTGTTAATTTACATAAATTGACAGTCTTAAAAAAGAAACAAACAAAATGCAAACTAAAAAAAAATAAACTTACTTTTTCTAATAAATCTTCATTTTGAAAGAAATTTCTAGTCAAGGAATAAATCAAGAATTTTAAATTAGCTTTATCTACAATCTTCTGTTTTTTATTTTCCTTCACTGTAGTCTGATATGTTATCTGTGCTGCCAGAACACAAATGAATCTAAAACAAGACTAGCTCATCCAAATTTAATTACAAACATGCTAAGTACTAGAAAGTCAGAAGTCAAATTATGTGACAATAAATTTCAACCACCTATGTTTTTATGGTTAATTATGAGCACAAGGTTTAAGATAATGACACCAGCTACTACAGCTTTCCAAAGAACAATTTGTTCTTAACCATGTGCACTAATTAAGTAGTTCAATTCTGCTTACTCTTGAATCAACCATTTAAAGCAAATCTAGGAAGATATTGTTTCTCTTTCTTCCTTCCCTCCATCACTGTGACAATCCAGCATCAGCAGCAGGTCCTTCCTATTTATCAAGGTTAAATAGAGAAGAAATGAAAAGGAAAACAGGATACAATCTACAATTCTTCCTCCTTGAATATTTCCCTTCTCACAGATGTTCAGCTGAATAAACTTCCCAAAACGACTGGAGTTGTTGTTGTAAACAGTCTTTGCATTACCAAAAGCTTCCATAATTGGGCTGTGAAATGAGAGGGTAGCAAAAAGGGTTAATTAGGAACAGAAGTAAAAACAATAAAATCATTTCCCCCAAAAATGTCAGCTCTATAGAAACCAGGAATAAATATCACCCCTACACAGGTGCTACATCCTTGATTCTTTAGCGAAACCTAGACTTTCTTTGACATGGCAAGTATTTGTTTTTTTCTTTTTTGGTTTGCATTGGTGATGCCAGTATTAAGAAATTCTTCATGTGGAAAATCCCTCCACCAATAGTGATGACAACTTGTCTGCAACTTAGTCTTAGAGAGCTGTGTGGGGCATCTAGAGGTGAAGTGGTCACACTGCTGATATGTGTCAGAAACAAGACCTAAAGCTAGGTTTTCCTCATCCAAAGAGAGCACTCTACACAATGCACTATATGTTGCTTCTCAGTGAATTTTCTTATTTTGAAAACTAAGGTAATTAAACAATATTTATAATGAGAATTATTTTGATTAAGAAGTCATAATAGTTTGAGTACTTATGAAAAATTCAAAATGGACAGTTGCTTTCTGTGTAAATTAGCATACCTAGATCATGAAGAAAACAACAGAGTAGGAAAATTTTTTTTAATAAAAATTGACTGTATAAATCACCTTTAAAATTCTGATATGAACTGCTATAAAATACCTCACTGACGATACTGCTAAACAAATATAATTTATTTCTTCATACAACCAACAAGTATTTTATGAAAATGTGTTGACTTACCTCCTCCATGTTAGAAATCACAGAAATTACAGCATAACATACAAAATAAGCATACGAAAATATAATTATGTATATATGCACAACAAAGTATAATGGTAAGGTTCAATAATAGAGGTACAGAAGAAATATAGTAATATACTGGCTTGGGGGATCTGCAAAGTCTTCATGAAGGAGACAGGATGGGTAGGAATTGTATATGTACAGAATGAGCCATTATATTTTCATATATGTGTATACATATGTGTGTGTATGTACGTTTACACAACACACACATACATACATACATACATATATACAGCCAATAAGTACATTTGTTTTGCTTGACTATGAATATCTATTACAAGGAATTTGCTGTACTTTTCTCCTTTTTTCCCAATATGGTGGGAGATGGGAGTGAGAGAAAGTAGATATCTGTTCTTTTTTTTTTCCCAAATTAAAAAACAAAGGTGGGTAGGGGAGCTACAGATGTGGAATGCTGACAACACTTTCAGATGAAGTTCCTATACTGTTATTGCAAAGATCTTTTCAGGTCTGAAGCTCACAGCTATTAGGTAAGAGAAAAAAATAATTCCAATTCACATGGTGTATGATTATAAAAACCTGTCTTTCTGCTAATATGTACCAGTGTCTTTTTCATATAGTTGGTTACTCAATCACTGCAATTTTTGCTTGTTAATCTATCTTATTCTCCTTGAAACATTAAAGGAAACATGTTGGCAGTTCACACAGTAGCTACTAATAATAAAAGTGACCTGTCCTAACAGAAGGGTTTAGGAGACAATTCTCAAAATTGTTAAACACTTTTGGTATTAAAAGAGCAGAATAATTACGTTAAGAAATACCTGCTTTCAAGAATAGCTTGTTCCACACAGGTTGTCTTTTCTTTTATTGATAATTCCAAAGAGTGTTGGCTTATGGCAGACAGGAACTTGAGGATCAGCTTAGTGCTCTCTGTTTTACCTGCCCCACTTTCACCACTGAAAGACAAAATAAATATGAGGAAAGACATGGTGCTATACTAATCATCATTAAAAAATTAAAGTAATTATTAAAATATAATAGTGGTAAGTAGTGAAACACTTTATTTCTGCAGCTAGCAATATAGCTCCTAGCATTCTTTATATTCCCTTTTATGGTTAAGAAATTAAAGTTACCATCTTAATAATAAAAAAGATAATACTATGGAAGTTATATCATACAAAAAACCCAAACTTATTCCCCCCACCCTTCTCCCTCTGGGGTGGCCAAACACATGCCTATACAAATATATTTTGGAACTTTGGGCAATAAAGTATAAACCATGATTTATGCATTTAAAAGCCTTAGAATCCAACTTGGTAATGAGATCAACACACAGCCATCAACATGGAAATGTCCAACAGAGAGTTGGTGGCGTAGGCTTGGTGTTCAGGAGAGCCTCTCTACCTTTTCTGATCTTCTAGATTGCTCTCATTTTTATAACACTGTAATGGAACACTTTTCTTAAATCAAATATTGGATTAGTTTTAATACGTATGATGTTCCATCAGAAAAATCATCAGATTTTACTCAGTAGACAGTTCATGAGAACATCCTATGTGTTAAATGACAAATATTAAGCTTTTGCTTTTTAAAATTATTTTTATTTTAAATAATAAGTTTTATTACTTAAAAAATAAGCCATCAGAATGATTCAAAGCGGGAACTATATCAAATTGTTTCAAGAAATTAACTCTAGGGCAGCTAGGTGGCACAGTGGATAGAGCATTGGCCCTGGAGTCAGTAAGACTTGAGTTCAAATTTCATTTTAGACACTTGACACTTACTAGTTTGTGACCTTGGGCAAGTCACTTAACCCCATTGCCTCGCCTCTTCCCCCCCCGCCCCAAAAAATTAACTCCACAGAGGACACTAGCATGAAAGTAGAACAGGAGGATCTTCTATCTATCCTTATTAATATTCCCATTCTCTGTTCTCTCAGACTTGTTCCCCCTTGAGATAGTTTCTTAAGCCCAAGAAATAAGAAGGACAGGTAAAAACCTTGGAACAGGAAAGAGAGAGAAAGCAGGGCTGGCCTTAACTGATACCTTTCAAATACAAAACATCTCAATCAGTAAACTCTAGAAATCAACCTTTTCCTTTAAAAGTACTCCTGCTAAGAGCAAAATTCTCCCAATATATTCTTTAGCCCAACTTAGACACAGAGTTCTCTGACTACCAAATTAATAACTGCAAGGAAGTGTGCTGGTTATATCTTTCTGTCAAAAGCTGCCGTACAGCCAAAGAACAGTCTGGGTTGTTTGCTGGTTTCAAACTGCATTGCCACTCTCAACCTCTTCTAGCAATTGCAGAGGAAATATATTGTTCAGTGGCTAGGGATTTCTCAACATAACTTCCAACACGAGGATTTGCTGTTGGTCAGTCATGTTTTACTCCTCCTGATCCCATTTAGGGTTTTCTTGGCAAAGATACCGATTGTCTTTTCTGGCTCTGAGGCAAACAGGGTTAAGTGAGTTGCCCAGGGTCACAGAGTTAGTAATTGTCTGAGGCTGGATTTGAACTCAGATCTTCCTGACTCCAGATTCAGCACTCTACCCACTGAGCCACCTAGCTGCCCCAGCAACACAAAGATACGGTTTTTGGCAACTAAGTCAATTCTGGCCCTTCCTAATTATCTCTGAAAATAAGAGTAATCCTGACAGAACTTGTGTCACACTCGGGATCAGAAATCTCTCCAGCTCACTAATGGCATCAAAATCTCTCTAGCCTTCATGCCTCAGAGAAGAAAAGCATCAAAGAATGATGAAGATACACGAAGGGCCAATTCATAGGCTATACAGTACTCATTTAGCGGCTTACTTCAAGATTCAGCAGCTATGCAGTGCCTTGCTACACATGAATACATTACAGGTCACCTTGGTGGGATGCAGAAGGAAGGCAATACCCAAAACGTTTAAAAAGTGGAAAAAGAGAGTAGGGGAGAAGGACTCCATCACAGAGGTTGGTCTTTTAGCCCTAACTTTTCATTGAATGAGATTGCTACATTTTCTTTTTTACTTTAATCATGAATGTACTTCCCTGGATACATGCTGTATCCTCTAAACAGAATGTAAATTCCTTGCAGATAAGAATTGTTTCATTTCGGGTTTTGTATTCCCAGTACATGGCAAGGTGAAATTCAAGTCAAGTTATTTTATCTTTCTGGGCCTCAGTTTACTCATCTGTAATATGAGGGTATTAGATTAAATCAATCAACATGAAGGCACATTTTACTTTACCTCATCACTTCTCATAAAGTCTAGGATGCATAGTAGGCATGTGAGAAATAAGGTGAAATACAGGATGCTTTTAAAGTAACAAAACTGAGTAAGTCCACAAGAGGGCACTTTATGCTCAAGGAAATCTAAATGGAAACTACAGTTTGTTCCCATTTTAAAAGATTGCTTTCTCCGTCTTCTGAATGAAAAAAGTTCTAGCATAAATTAAAAAAGAAAATGTGTATTAATAAGTAAAATATTCTGATTTACAACCTCTCCTGAGTCTGAAAGTTTATTGTAGCTTTATCTAGATAAAATTATGATGTTCACATTTGCATTATACAATAGAAGATTTCCATGATTGTTCTACAATGCAATCTTTTAATTACACATGAATAAGTACAATAATCACATCCTAATTTCCCCTCTAGAATGCCAAAGCTACTCCGTCAAATGGATTTGTGGCCTTTCACTTTTTTTCCCTACTGAAATCAATAATTAATTATTTAGGTATTTAATAGCCCAAGAAACTAAAATAAGACTTAAGTATAAAGAGCCTTGAACCTATAATCAGAAAGCCCTGGATTAAAATCTCTGTTTTGTTATTTAACTGTGTGGCCATGGCTTCCTAAATTCTCGAGTTAGTTTGCTTCATTGAGACGGTTAAGTCCCTTAAGTAGGGATAGAGTGCTAGGCTTAAATTCCCGAAGATCCACATTTGACTCTTGCCTCAGTCACTTCATTACTTGTGTGATACCGAGTAAGTCATTTACCTCTTCCAGCCTCAGTTGCCTCATCTGTAAAATGAGGATAAAGACAGCAGGAGTTGTTTGCCTGTCTTAAACCTCATCTAGAAGTAGAACAGTTCTGTATCAACTCTTTCACAAGTATCCTTTAGCAAATGTTCCCAGACTATTTCAGCAAGTATTCCTATGTAATAGGAACAGGGCAAGAGCTACCTTGAACCTGAGCCAAAGGTTCCTGGTTGCTTTGGACGCAGAGGACAGAATTAGCATAAGGCTCCAATATAAATAACTGAAATTAAACTTTGATGGCTGTTAAGATACAATAAAAGAGAAGAAATTTAGATTTGGCCAGGGCAGAAGGTTGGTAGGAGTGGGGGGTGTAGAAGAGGCTGTGGTTAGTTTTCAAAAGAGAAGCATTATGGGATTTTTTAAGGAAATGCATTTTAATTACTTTCAAGTACAAAGAGCAACTTACTTTTCAGGAAGTTTTCCAAGAGAGATCTATTAGTCTACTAGTAATTTGTTTTACTAAAATAAGACCCTTTGAAATTAACAGCATCCATTTTTAATACAACTTATATGGTAAGGTCTTTTTCCCCTTCCCCCTTAAAGTAGATCACATAATAATCATTAACAAAAGCTTTTTTCAGCCTGTGACTTTCATTAGTATATGCTTAGTAAACCTTTTTTTCACGGGAAATACAAAGTTGAGAGGCCATGGTACAAAGAAAGCTTGGTCAAGGAGCCCAGATGATTTGGGAGTGAGTTTTGTCCCTGACATACATTGGCTGCTGTGTCAGGCTAAGCAAATCAGTTATCTCTCAGTGACCCCAGGCAAGGAAGACTATAGTGCTGATCAGCATCGGTTTGAGTGAGTTTCCTATCCACAAGGACTTTATTTTTTCTTCAGTCTGAACTTGTGATATCGTTGGCGTGCGGCAGGCCTGGTAAGGATTCTTCCTCCACAGACATAGATCTACAAACTTAAGAGTCTTAGAAAATTACCCAGGACATTGAAAAGTTAACTGATTTACCTCAGACTCACTTAGCCAGCATGGGTCAGGGTTCGTCCTGAACCCAGGTCTTTTTGACTATTAAGCCATGTCACTAAACCAATCTGCCCTTCAAACTTCAAGACTGTGTTAAGTCAGGTTATTAAAGACTCTGAAATCAGAGTCCTATTCAGCGAGGTATTATTGCATCCATGAGACACCTTGACCAAATACTTAAATACATGCCATTTTGATTCCACTTAGCCCCAGTAGTAAAATAGAAGGAGTTAAGGACGACACTGTTCAGGAGGAAGAAGGGGAGAGAGAACTTCTGGCTACAAAGCTAGATTGCAAGTATATGGTTCTAAACAACTCATTTTATTGAGCTGGTTTCACTAGATGAAAGTTCCTCTCAGAGAGGAAGTTTCACGGATGAGACAAGGGAACTGAAAATAGCCAAATCAATGTGTGTTAATAAAGGTATTTGGCAATCCCTCAGTACCAAATGGCTTTCATTCTGTTTTCCTGCCTGGGCATAGTAAAGGCTGCCAAAAAATCAATAAAAGATTAGTGTATGTATGAGGGCAGAAGTTGGCTCTGTAAGTGTGAAACACTTTCAACTTCGAAGTGCTAGGGGAATAAAAGTATTGAAGACAGCAAATGGAATACTATTCAAATCTTCATAAAATTAAAGAGCAATTAAAGTCAAACAATGGAAGAAACAGGGTAGAATAATTATCTTTAGTTAAACAACTAACAAGTTGTAGATGTTTCTTTCCAAATGAGCTCCCAAAAGATCTTTTGATAGATGCAATTTTCAAGCCTGGTAAAAACAGATTATCAAACTGTTCAAAAAGGCATGCTGAAGTTTGAAAGAGAAAAAAAGGCATTTATAATGAAAGGAAGTAGTAATTCAAAAGGCAACAGTATGTGGGTGTAAAATATTTTTTCCATTAAATTATTCTAAGACGTACATAAGCAAAGCATGTTTTCTTTCACAAGATAACTGGAGCATGTGGTGACACTGCATCCTCAGAGACCTAATAATTAAAGAGGTTTATGGGGAAATATACAAATAGTATTTTTTGGCTAACTTCATTTTATTCTTTCCTGTCAATTCCTCCTCTAATGCCCCCCACCCCCAAATCTTTGGCCCTTTTCTCCAGTCTGCATTACGATGATGCTCTCACGTTATTCTGTTTAAAGCATACAAGCAGAATCATGAATGATTAAAATCACATCCATTTACCTGATGAGAACACACTGGTTGTCATGACGTTTCCATAGACAGCGGTAACATTCATTAGCAACTGCAAAGATGTGAGGTGAAATCTCCCCCATGTGGTGTCTGCTGTAGTGCTCCATTGTGGACTGGTCATACAGGCCAGGAATGGTCTTGTAAGGATTCACCGAAGCAATAATGGAACCAATATAGGTCTGTAAATACAAACAGGAAAAACACAATGATTCACAGGCTTGCAAGTAGCAGGTTAAAATGAGCCATCAAGAACTTCTGCTTTCCCTTCTTGAAATCATCTCATAAGACACAATGAGGTGGCATACGTAAATCACTTTACAAACTCTAAAGCAGTGTGTAAACTCTAGGTATTATTATGAGAAAAGCAACTAGGGAAGAGTGTAATCCTATAGCAGTTCTATATAAATTCTAACGTAGCATGTCCTCACTATCAAAGTGGGATATAGTCTGAACATACAAAACCTAAACAAAGAATGCAGTTTGTATAACTACAGAAAATGTCTTTTGTATTAAAGTCAGGTTTATTTATTATCTAACATTTTCAGAGGGTATGATTACATGTTGTACTTCCTCTTAACCTCATCTTATCTCATGCCAATAAACTGAGTGTTTTTAAGGGGTGTTTAGATGTTATCTAATCTAATTCCCAGCTCAATGTATGCACACTATCTAAAACACCTCAGTCCATCCTGTGTGACCTTGGGCAAGACACTAAACCTCAACTACAACCTACCCCCCCCCCAAAAAAAAGTTCATCTAGCTTTTTATTTCAGATTTCCAGTGATCATAATATCAGTATCTTACAAGGAGCCAAATCCATTGTTGGACTGCTCTAACAATTAGAAAGTTTGTCCATACTTTAAGCCAAAATCAGCCTCCATATAACCTAGCTGCCTTTCCAGATGATCCTAAGTTATCATTAATGTTGAAGGCAGCTGATAGATAGAGTGTTGGGACAGGGTTCAGGAAGACTTGAGTTCAAATCTACTATCAGCAAGTCACTTAAACCCTGCCTTAGTTTCCTTATCTGTAAATGGGGGTGATAATACACACCTACCTCCTAGGGATAGTAATTATAAAGCGCTTGCCTGGCACATAATAAGAGCTATATAAATGTTACTTATAAATATGGCCTTAGACACTTAATAGTTGTATGATCTTGGAGAAGTAAATCTCAACCTCTGCCTCAGTTTCCTCAACTGTAAATTGGGGGTAAAAATCGTACCCACTTCTCAGGGTTACTGAAATCATATGAAATAATAGTTGTAAAAAGCACTTATCACAGTACCTGGCATGTAGCAGGCACTACATAAGTTTCTTCCCTGCCTTTTCCCTTTACCCTTTTTATCCTAGTTTTCAGTTTTGGACCCACAGTTAATAACGAATCAAATCTTCTTCTCACAGGAGTCCTTCAGGAAAGGCAAGAGAGACCTATGTTCCATTCTTAACTCTACAATTAAACTAGTGGTGCCACCTTAAGTAGGTCATGTAACATCTGTAGATCTCATCACTGGTAAAGTGAGTGGGTTGCACTAAATGACCACAGTAAAAAGTCCTTCCCAGGAACAATCCAAGTTAATGCTGTTTTATTTAATATAACTAACAAGTCAGCAATAGAACCAGCCAATCTCAATCAAATAACATCTGAAGCAACTACTCTGTGCTAGGAACTGTGATAGACCCTGGGGATAAAAAGACAAAAATAGACCAAAAGATAATTGAGGAACATGTGTTTCAGGAGGAGAAGCAACATGTATACCTGTACATAAATACAAAGTAAATAGAAGATAATGGAGGGTGGGGTGGGGGGTGGGGCCAGTGGGTGATTACCAGGAAATGTCTCATACTAGATAGGAGGTGGTGCTAGGTTGGTGCTAGATTATACTAGGTAGGAGTTGAGTTTTGAAAGAAATTAGGATTCTAAGAGGAAGAGAAGAGGACGGTGTATGCTCTAGGAAGAGGGTACATCCTAAGCAAAATGGAACTTGGAGACGGAATGGCATACATAATATTTATAAGAAAAAAGCAAGAAGGGGAAGCTAGGTGGCACAGTGGATAGAGCACTGGCCTTGAAGTCAGGAGGACCTGAGTTTAAATCTGGCCTCAGACACATAACATACTAGCTGTGTGACTCTGGGCAAGTCACTTAATCCCAACTGCCTACAAATCAAAAAAAAAAAAAAAAAAAAAAGGAAAAAAAAGGAAAGGAAGAAAGTGAGAAGCCAGTTTGGTTGGATCATAGAGCACATGAGAGGAATAATGTATAATAAGTCTAGGGGTATGTTATAGCCAGAGTGGGGAAAAAAAAACCTCTTTCTCTGGAAAAAAAAAGTTCATTAAGTGACTCTAGAGGCAAAAGAGAGGTAGCCACTGGAGCTTTCTGGGTCATAACTGTGCTTTAGGAGTAGCACTTTGGCAGTTACGTGGAGGATGGACTGGAGAAAGACTGAGGTTGGAAGATTAATTAGGCTATTGCAGTAATCCAGCAAATTAGAGCCCGAACTGGGGTAGCAGTTGTGTGGAGTTTGAAGTCACAAGATTTGGCAACAGAACGGCTGTGATAGATGAGGGAAAATGAAGGGCAAAGATGACTCCCAGGCTGCAAGCCCTCAACAGAAATAGTCAAGTTCAAAACGGAGTGGATGTGCCTATGTCCTGGGACATAGGCAGTTTGTGATCTAGGACTGGAGCTCAGAATAGAGAATGGGGCAGGATACATTGATCTAGGATCTATATAAAGAGGATAACTGAACCTACGGAAGTTGATGAAGTTACTAAGAGAATGTATAGAGAGAGAAAAGACGGTCTAAAATAGAGACGAGGTTGCAGCTACAGTTTCAGGGTGATGAGTCAGCCAATAAAACTAAGAGGAATTGCTAGAAAAACAGGAGAATAAAAAGGAAAGCCATGTCACAAAAGCCCAGAGAGGAGGAAACATCTAGGAAGATGGAGTATTGAAAAATGTCTAATGTTAAGAAAAATTACTTTGGAGAATGGGGTTATAGTGGACTGATTAGATCAAAAGTTAGACTGTAAAGGGTTAGGAAGTGAGATAAAGAAGGAAATGGAAATATAGGAAAATAGTTGAAGGAGAACATAGAGTCAAGTGAGGATTTTTTAAGGATAGTAGAGACACTGTGATATGTTTTTAGGGCTTAGGGAAAGAGCCAGTGGGGGGAGGGAGAGAATGAAGATCAAAGAGAGAAGACAATTGTGGAAGCAATATGCTGCAAAAGAATGGAGGGGTTGGGTTTGGGATACTGGTAGAGGGACTGATCTTGGCAATAAGGGACACCTCTCTATCAAACACAGGAAGGGAGAATTAATATCACAGGATTCCAAATATAGAATAAGAGAGAGACAGAAACTGGGGGCAAACATCTCTTTACTCAGCAGTATGAGGCAGTCTTCCGCCAAGAGCCAAGGGGCAGGGATGGTGTGGGAGGCTTAGGGAAAGAAGGTCTGAAACAAATATTATGGGTCATGAAAAAGAATTCAAGTAAATAAGATGACAAGAACTGCCTTTTGGCAGTGAGAACTAAGTTGAGACTAGGTAACAAATTTCAGTGGATAAAGTCAACAGGGTTGTGAAACATTCTCTCAAATTTCTCTGCAGTCTACATGGAAGAGGAAGATGATGGTGATGAGGATAGAAGTAGAGGAAGTATTTCAAGGTTGGAATTTGACAAGGTATGAGTAACTCCAAGGCAAAAACATAAAAGATGAAAACAAAAACAAAAACACCCCTCTGTGGTTTATAAAATGTGCTTTCCCTGTCATGTTAAAATAAATATAGGGAAAAAAATTAATCTCTTTCTTACAAACTAGTGATTTGCTTTCTTGGTCCTGTGGAAATTGGTATTTATATTTTGGTTTGTCCAAGTCTAATCTGCACTGGATTTACTCCAGCGCTCTCTCTCTCTCTTTTTCTCTTTCTCTCTCTCAATTACAAGTTAAATAAATGAGGCTGAACTTCTTTTTTAAAGCCATACTTTAGCATATCAGTTTGCTCATAACTTAAGATATCACCCACCAATCATATTCTTTTTTTAAAGTGGCACAAGCTATGATTACATGTTTATGCTCCCTTTCAAAAGCATATCACTATATTTAAAGTACTAGTTTGGTTTACTATAACTGCCCCTCCCTACACACAAGTTATAGTTTCTTTTCAAAAGGCTTTCTTCTTTATAAGTTATTATAATCAACATAGAGCATGTTACTAATTTTTAAAGAACAGTTTCAATAATTCAATTAACAGAAAACTGATGAACTCTTGAGTACAGACTGAAGCATACTTTTTTCATTTTCTTTTTTTTTCAACATGGCTAATATTGAAATATGTTTTGTATGACTTCACATGAGTAGAGGACAGGCTAGATGGAGGGAGAGAATTTAGAACCCTTAAACTTTCTTGAAAAATGAATGTTAAAAATAAATAACCCAACTGAACATACTAGTCAATTCAAAACAAGGATTTGTTAAGTGCCTATTGTGTGGAGGGAAGTATGGTGCTGGACAGACCTGCACGTTAGGAAGATCTCACTGATAGGAAGCTGAAGGGAGGACTGACTGGAGTGGGAAGAAAACTCTGGCAGGGAGACTGACTAACGTCCAGATATGAGGGTGATGAGGGCCTGGGCCAGGACAGTGACAGTATCAGAGGAAGGAAGGGGATATATATGAGAGAGATATTGCATAGAACTTGGCCAACTGATTGAATCTGGAGGGTGAGGGTGAAGATTTGAAGATGGCACCTAGGTAGTGGGCCTGGGTGACTAGGAAGATGGTGCCCTTGGGGTACCATACCTTGGGGAAAAGATAATGGGTTCAATTTTGGATGTGTTAAGTTTTTGATGTCTATGGGACAACCAGTTTGAGATATCCATTAAACAGTTGGAGATATGAGACTAGAGGTCAGGAGAGTAGAGTTAGATAAATAAATTTGAGAATCATCAACACAGTGATGACAATGAAGCCATAGGGATTGGTATGATCACCAAACAAAGTAGTAAGGAGGGAGAAAGAAGAAAAGAGGTCTCAGGACATTGGGGGACATACATTTTAGCTAAGTAAAGTTCAATGAGAAGGAGCAGGTGAGGAAGATAATAAAAAGAGAAGAACATCACCCAAAATCTAGAAAGAAGAGAATATCAAGAAGAAGGGGGTAGTTGACAAA